CATCTGATACAGGAATGAGGATCTGGGTCTGTCAGTATCTGAGAATCTGGTACAGGTGTGGGGATCTGGGTCTGTCCATGTCTGAGGAGTTATCATCTGATACAGGAATGAGGATCTGGGTCTGTCAGTATCTGGATCTGGTACAGGTGTGAGGATCTGGGTCTGTCCATGTCTGAAGAGGTAAGATCTGTTAACAGGTATGAGGATATGGGTCTGTCCATGTCTGAGGAGGTGGGAATTTGGTACATGTATGAGGATCTGGGTCTGTCAGTATCTTAGGAGGTAGGATTTGGTACAGACGTGAGGATCTGGGTCTTCAGTTGTCTGAGGGGGTGGCATTTGACACAGGCAAGAGAATCTGGATCTTCTAGTGTCTGGGGAGACAGGATCTGGTATTAAGTATGAGAATCTGGGTCTGTCAGTGGCTCAGGAGGTGGGATCTGGCATAAGCATGAGAATCTGGGTCTGTCAATGTCTGAGGAGGTAGGATCTGGCTCTGGTCAGAAGATCTGGGACTCAGTTTCTCAGAAGGTAGGATCTGGTACAGGTGTGAAGATCTGCGTCTGTCCATGTCTAAGGTGATAGGATCTGGTGGAGGTATGAGGATCTGGGTCTGTCAATTTATGAGGAGGTAGGATCTGGCTCCGGTAAGAAGATCTGGGACTGTCAATTTCTGAGGAGGTAGGATCTGGTACAGGTATGAGGATCTGGATCTGTCCATGTCTGAGGAGGTAGGATCTGGCCCTGGTGAGAGAATCTGGGTCTGTCACTTTATGAGGAGGTGGGAACTGGCACAGGTATGAGGATCTGGGTCTGTCAGTATCTGAGGAGGTAGGACCTGGTGCAGGTATAAGGATCTGGGTCTGTTAAGATCTGAGGAGGTAAGATCTGGGACAGTATTAAGGATCTGGGAATCTCCATGTCTGAGAAGGTAGGATCTGGTATACATATAAGGATGAAGGAGGTAGGATCTGGTGCAGGTATAAGGATCTGGGTCGATCAATATCTGAGGAGGTGTGATCTGGCCTTGGTATGATGATCTGTGTCTTTCAATGTCCTAGGTGGTAGGATCTGGCCCTGGTATGAGGGTCTGAGTCTGTCAATATCTGAAGAGGTAGGAATCTGGTACAGATATGAGGATCTGCGTCTGTCAGTGTGTGAGAGGTAGGACCTGGCTCTGATATGAGGATCTGTGTGGGTCTGTCAATGTCTGAGGAAGTAGGAATCGTACAAGTAAGAGGATCTGGGTCTATCTATGTCTGAGGAGGTAGAATGCGCCATGAGTATGAAGATCTGAGTCTGTCCACGTCTGCAGAGGTAGGATCTGGTGCAGGTATAAGGATCTGGATCTTACAATGTCTGAAAAGGTAGGATCTGGCCTTGGTATGAGGATCTGGGTCTGTCAATGTCTGAGGAGGTAGGAATCTGGTACAGGTATGAGGATCTGTGTCTGTCAATGTCTGAGGAGGTAGGAATCTGGTACAGGTAGAGGATCTGGGTCTTTCCATGTCCGAGGAGGTAGGATCTGGTACAGGTGTGAGGATCTGGGTCTGTCAGTATCTGAGAAGGTAGGATCTGGCTCTGATATGAGGCTTATGAAGATTTGGGTCTTTCAGTATCTGAGGAGGTAGAATCTCGGTGTGGGTATAAGGAGGTAGGATCTGGCCCTGGTATCAGGATCTGAGTCTGTCAGTGTCTGGGGAGGTAGGATCTGGTACAAGTGTGAGGATCTGGGTCTCCCCATGTCTGAGAAGGTAGTAATCTGATACAGGTGCGAGGGTCTGTGTTTGTCAAAGTCTGAGGAGTTACCACCTGGTACAGGAATGAGGACCTGCGTCTTCCAGTGACTGAGAAGGTAGGATCTGGTACGGGTGTGAGGATCTGGGTCTGTCACTGTCTGAGGAGGTACGAATCTGGTACAGGTACGAGGATCTAGGTCTGTATCTGAGAAGGTAGGATCTGGGTGCGGGTATATGGATCTGGATCTGGCAGTATCTGAGGAGGTAGGATCTGGCCCTGGTATCAGGATCTGAGTCTGTCCATGTCTGAGGAGGTAGGATCTGGTACAGGTGTAAGGATACAGGCCTCTCCATGTCCGAGGAGGTAGGATCTGGTACGGCTGTGAGGATCTGTGTCTGTCAGTGTCTGAGAAGGTAGGATCTGGCCCTGGTATGAGGATCTGGGTCTGTCAGTGTCTGAGAAGGTAGGACCTGGCCCTGGTATGAGGCTTGTGAGTCTGTCAGCATCTGAGGAGGTAGGATCTTGGTGTAGGTATAAGGATCTGGATCAGTCAGTATCTGAGGAGGTAGGATCTGGCCCTGGTATCAGGATCTGAGTCTGTCAATGTTCGAGGAGGTAGGATCTGGTACAGGTGTGAGGATCTGGGTCTCTCCATGTCTGAGGAGGTAGGATCTGGTACAGGTGTGAGAATCTGGGTCTCTCCGTATCCGAGGAGGTAGGATCTGGTACAGGTGTGAGGATCTGGGTCTCTCCATGTCTCAGCAGGTAGGATCTGGCCCTGGTATGAAGCTTGTGAGGATCTGGGCTCTCCATGTCTGAGGAGGTAGGATCTGGTACAGGTGTGAGGATCTGGGTCTCTCCATGTCCGAGGAGGTTGGATTTGGTACAGGTGTGAGGATCTAGGTCCATCTATGTCTGAGGAGGTAGGATCTGATACAGGTATGAGGATCTGGGTCTCTCCATGTCTGAGGAGGTAGGATCTGGTACAGGTGTGAGGATCTGGGTCCATCCATGTCTGAGGAGATAGGATCTGGTATAGGTGTGAGGATCTGGGTCTCCCCATGTCTGAGCAGGTAGGATCTGGCCCTGGTATGAGGATCTGGGTGTCTCCATGTTTGAGAAGGTAGAATCTGGTACAGGTGTGAGGATCTGGGTCTGTCCATGTCTGAGAAGGTAGGATCTGGCCCTGGTATGAGGCTTGTGAGGATCTGGGCTCTCCATGTCTGAGGAGGTAGGATCTGGTACCGGTGTGAGGATCTGGGTCTCTCAGTGTCTGAGGAGGTAGGATCTGGTACTGGTGTGAGGATCTGGGTCTCTCCATGTCTGAGGAGGTTGGATTTGGTACAGGTGTGAGGATCTGGGTCTCCCCATGTCTGAGCAGGCAGAACCTGGCCCTGGTATGAGGCTTGTAAGGATCTGGTCTCTCCATGTCTGAGGAGGTAGGATCTGGTACAGATATGAGGATCTGGGTCTCTCCGTGTCCGATGAGGTAGGATCTGGTACAGGTGTGAGGATCTGGCTCTCTCTGTGTCCGAGGAGGTAGGATCTGGTACAGGCATGAGGATCTGGGTCTCCCCATGTCTGAGCAGGTAGGATCTGGCCCTGGTATGAGGCTTGTGAGGATCTGGTCTCTCCATGTCTCAGGAGGTAGGATCTGGTACAGGTATGAGGATCTGGGTCTCTCCATGTCCGAGGAGGTAGGATCTGGTACAGGTGTGAGGATCTGGGTCTCCCCATGTCTGAGCAGGTAGGATCTGGCCCTGGTATAAGGCTTGTGAGGATCTGGTCTCTCCATGTCTGAGGAGGTAGGATCTGGTACAGGTGTGAGGATCTCTGTCTCTCCATGTCTGAGGAGGTAGGATCTGGTATAGTTTTGAGCACCTGGGTCTCTCCATGTCTGAGGAGGTAGGATCTGGCCCTGGTATGAGAATCTGGGTCTGTCAATGTCTGAGGAGGTAGGATCTGGTATAGGTGTGAGGATCTGTGTCCATCCATGTCTGAGGAGGTAGGATCTGGTACAAGTGTGAGGATCTGGGTCTCATGTCTGAGGAGGTAGGATCTGGCCCTGGTATGAGGATCTTGGTCTCTCCATGTCTGAGAAGGTAGGACCTGGCCCTGGTATGAGTCTTATGAGAATTTGGGTCTGTCAGCATCTGAGGAGGTAGGATCTGGGTGCGGGTATATGGATCTGGATCTGTCAGTATCTGAGGAGGTAGGATCTGGCCCTGGTATCAGGATATGAGTCTGTCCATGTCTGAGGAGGTAGGATCTGGTACAGGTGTGAGGACATGGGTCTCTCCGTGTCCGAGGAGGTAGGATCTGGTATGGCTGTGAGGATCTGTGTCTGTCAGTGTCTGAGAAGGTAGGATCTGGCCCTGGTATGAGGATCTGGGTCTCTCCATGTCTGAGGAGGTAGGATCTGACCCTGGTATGAGGATCTGGGTCTGTCAGTTAGAAAGGTCTGGGTCTGTCTGAGAAGGTAGGACTTGGCCCTGGTATGAGGCTTCTGAGTCTGTCAGCATCTGAGGAGGTAGGATCTGACCCTGGTATCAGGATCTGAGTCTGTCCATGTCTGAGGAGGTAGGATCTGGTACAGGTGTGAGGATCTGGGTCTGTCAGTGTCTGAGGAGGTAGGATCTGGTACAGGTGTGAGGATCTGGGTCTCTCCATGTCTGAGGAGGTAGGATCTGTTACAGGTGTGAGGATCTGGATCTGTCAGTCTCTGAGAAGGTAGGATCTGGCCCTGGTATGCGGATCTGGGTCTCTCCATGTCTGAGGTGGTGGAATCTGGTACAGGTGTGAGGATCTGGGTCTGTCAGTGTCTGAGAAGGTGGGATCTGGCCCTGGTATGACGATTTGGGTCTCTCCATGTCTGAGGAGGTGGGATCTGGTACAGTTGTGAGGATCTGGGTCTGTCAATGTCTGAGGAGGCAGGATCTGTTATAGGTGTGAGGATCTGGTTCCATCCATGTCTGAGGAGGTAGGATCTGGTACAGGTGTGAGGATCTGGGTCTCCCCATGTCTGAGCAGGTAGGATCTGGCCCTGGTAGGAGGCTTGTGAGGATCTGGTCTCTCCATGTCTCAGGAGGTAGGATCTGGTACAGGTGTGAGGATCTCTGTCTCTCCATGTCTGAGGAGGTAGGATCTGGTATAGTTTTGAGGATCTGGGTCTCCCCATGTCTGAGGAGGTAGGATCTGGCCTTGGTATGAGGCTTGTGAGGATCTCGGCTCTCCATGTCTGAGGAGGTAGGATCTGGTACAGGTGTGAGGATCTGGGTCTCTCCATATCTGAGGAGGTAGGATCTGGCCCTGGTTTCAGGATCTAGGTCTGTCAATGTCTGAGGAGGTAGGATCTGGTACAGGTGTGAGGATCTGGGTCTGTCAATGTCTGAGGAGGTAGGATCTGGTACAGGTGTGAGGATCAGAGTCTCCTATGTGTGAGGAGGCAGGATCTGGTACAGGTGTGAGGATCTGGGTCTCTTCATGTCTGGGAAGGTAGGATCTGGCCTTGGTATGAGGCTTGTGAGGATCTGGGCTCTCCCTGTCTGAGGAGGTAGGATCTGGTACAGGTGTGAGGATCTGGGTCTCTCCATGTCTGGGAAGGCAGGATCTGGCCCTGGTATTAGGCTTGTGAGGATCTGGGCTCTCCCTGTCTGAGGAGGTAGGATCTGGTACAGGTGTGAGGATCTCGGTCTCTCCATGTCTGAGGAGGTAGGATCTGGCCCTGGTATGGGAATCTGGGTCTGTCATTGTCTGAGGAGGTAGGATCTGGTATAGGTGTGAGGATCTGGGTCCATCCATGTCTGAGGAGGTAGGATCTGGTACAAGTGTGAGGATCTGGGTCTCTCATGTCCGAGGAGGTAGGATTTGGCCCTGGTATGAGGATCTGGGTCTCCATGTCTGAGAAGGTAGGACCTGGCCCTGGTATGAGTCTTATGAGAATTTGGGTCTGTCAGCATCTGAGGAGGTAGGATCTGGGTATGGGTATATGGATCTGGATCTGTCAGTATCTGAGGAGGTAGGATCTGGCCCTAGTATCAGGCTCTGAGTCTATCCATGTCTGAGGAGGTAGGATCTGGTACAGGTGTGAGGATCTGTGTCTGTCAGTGTCTGAGAAGGTAGGATCTGGCCCTGGTATGCAGATCTGGGTCTCTCCGTGTCTAAGGAGGTAGGATCTGACCCTGGTGTGAGGATCTGGGTCTCTCCATGTCTGAGAAGGTAGGATCTGACCCTGGTATGAGGATCTGGGTCTGTCAGTGTCTGAGAAGGTAGGACTTAGCCCTGGTATGAGGCTTGTGAGTCTGTTAGCATCTGAGGATGTAGGATCTGGCCCTGGTATCAGGATCTGGGTCTGTCAATGTCTGAGGAGGTAGGATCTGGTACAGATGTGAGGATCTGGGTCTGTCAGTGTCTGAAGAGGTAGGATCTGGTACAAGTGTAGGGGTCTGGGTCTCATGTCTGTGGAGGTTGGATCTGGTACAGGTGTGAGGATCTGGGTCACTCCATGTTCGATGAGGTAGGATCTGGTACAAGTGTTAGGATCTGGGTCCATCCATGTCTGAGAGGTCGGATCTGGTATAGGTGTGAGGATCTGGGTCTCTCCATATCCAATGAGGTAGGATCTGGTCCAGGTGTGAGGATCTGGGTCTCCCCATGTCTGAGCAGGTAAGATCTGGCCCTGTTATGAGGATCTGGGTCTTTCCATGCCTGAGGAGGTAGGATCTGGTACACATGTGAGGATCTGGGTCACTCCATGTTCGATGAGGCAGGATCTGGTACAAGTGTTGGGATCTGGGTCCATCCATGTCTGAGGTGTCAGATCTGGTATAGATGTGAGGATCTGGGTCTCTTCATATCCAATGAGGTAGGATCTGGTCCAGGTGTGAGGATCTGGGTCTCCCCATGTCTTAGCAGGTAGGATCTGGCCCTGTTATGAGTATCTGGGTCTCTCCATGTCTGAGGAGGCAGGATCTGGTACCGGTGTAAGGATCTGGGTCCATCCATGTCTGAGGAGGTAGGATCTGGTATAGGTATGAAGATCTGGGTTTCCCCATGTCTGAGAAGTTAGGATCTGTCCCTGGTATCAGGATCTGGGTCTCTACATATCTGAAAAGGTAGGATCTGGTACAGGTATGAGGCTTGTGAGGATCTGGTCTCTCCATGTCCAAGGAGGTAGGATCTGGTATAGGTGTGAGGATCTGGGTCTCTCCATGTCCGAGGAGGTAGGATCTGGCATGAGTATGAGGATCTGGCTCTGACGATGTCTGAGGAGGTAGAATCTGTTGCAGATGTAAGGATCTGGGTCTTTCAATGTCAGAGAAGGTAGGACCTTGCCCTGGTATGAGGATCTGGGTCTTTCAATATCTGAGGAGGTAATCTGGTACAGGTATGAGGATCTGGGTGTCTTCATGTCTGAGGAGGTAGGAATCTGTTAGAGGCATGAGGATCTGGGTCTGTCAATCTGTGAGGGGGTAGGATCTGGCCCTGGTATGAGGAACTGGTTCTGTCAATGTCTGAGAAGGTAGGATCTGGCCCTGGTATGAGGCTTATGAGGATCTGGGTCTGTCAGAATCTGAGGAGGTAGTATCTGCGTGTGGGTATAAGGATCTGGATCTGTCATTATCTTAGGAGGTAAGATCTGGCCCTGCTATCAGGATCTGAGTCTGTCAGTGTCTGAGGAGGAAGGATCTGGCGCACATATAAGAATCTAGGTATTTCAGTGTCTGGGAAGGTAAGATCTGGCCCTGGTTTGAGGATCTGGGTCTTTCATCTGAGGAGATAGGAATCAGGTACAGATATGAGGATCTGAGTCTCTTCATGTCTGAGGAGTAAGGAATCTGTTACTGGCATGAGGATCTGGATCTGTCAGTGTCTGAGGAGGCAGGACCTGGCACTGGTATGTGGGTCTGGGTCTATCCATGTCTGAGGAGGTAGGATCTGGCTCTGTCGATGTCTGTGGAGGTAGGATCTGGCACAGATACAAGGATCTGGGCTTTACAATTTCTGCGAACATAGGATCTGGCCTTGGTATGAGGATCTGGGTCTGTCAGTATCTGAGGAGTTACAAATCTAGTACAGGTATGAAAATCTGGGTCTCTCCTGTCTGAGGAGTTAGGAATCTGCTACAGGTGTGACGATCTGGGTGTCTCCATGTCTGAGGAGGTAGGATCTGGTATGGCTGTGAGGATCTGGGTCTGTCAGTGTCTGAGGAGGTAGGATCTGGCTGTGGTATGAGGATCTGGGCTCTCCATGTCTGAGAAGGTAGGATCTGGTACGGCTGTGAGGATCTGGGTCTGTCAGTGTCTGAGGAGGTAGGATCTGGCCCTGGTATGAGGATCTGGGTCTCTCCATGTCTGAGGAGGTAGGATCTGGCCCCGGTATGAGAATCTGGGTCTGTCATTGTCTGAGGAGGTAGGATCTGGTATAGGTGTGAGGATCTGGGTCCATCCAGGTCTGAGGAGGTAGGATCTGGTACAAGTGTGAGGATCTGGGTCTCTCATGTCTGAGGAGGTAGGATTTGGCCCTGGTATGAGGATCTGGGTCTCTCCATGTCTGAGAAGGTAGGACCTGGCCCTGGTATGAGTCTTATGAGAATTTGGGTCTGTCAGTATCTGAGGAGGGTAGGATCTGGGTACAGGTATAAGGATCTGGATCTGTCAGTATCTGAGGAGGTAGGATCTGGGTGCTGGTAGAAGGATGTGGATCTGTCAGTTTTTGAGGAGGTAGGATCTGACCCTGGTTTCAGGATCTGAGTCTGTCCATGTCTGAAGAGGAGGATCTGGTACAGGTGTGAGGATACGGGTCTCTCCATGTCCAAGGAGGTAGGATCTGGTTCAGCTGTGAGGATCTGTGTCTGGCAGTGTCTGAGAAGGTAGGATCTTGCCCTGGTATGAGGCTTGTGAGGTTTTGGGTCTGTCAGCATCTGAGGAGGTAGGATCTGGGTATGGGTATAAGGATCTGGATCTGTCAGTATCTGAGGAGGTAGGATCTGGCCCTGGTATCAGGACCTGAGTCTGTCAGTGTCTGGGGAGGTAGGATCTGGTACAGGTGTGAGGATCTGGGTCTCTCCATGTCTGAGGAGGTAGGATCTGGTATAGGTGTGAGGCTTTGGGTCCATCCATGTCTCAGCAGGTAGGATCTGTTGCAGATATAAGGATCTGGGTCTTTCAGCGTCTGATAAAGTAGAATCTGGCCCTGGTATGAGGATCTGGGTCTTTCAATATCTGACGAGTTAATCTGGCACAGGTATCGGGATCTGGGTCTCCATGTCTGAGAAGGTAGAAATCTGTTAGAGCCATGAGGATCTGGGTCTGTCATTGTGTGAGGAGGTAAGATCTGACCCTGGTATGAGGAACTATGTCTGTCAGTGTCTGAGGAGGTAGGACCTGGCCCTGGTATGAGGATCTGGGTCTTTCCATGTCTGTTAAGGTAGGATCTGGGTCTGTCTGTGTCTGAGGAGGTAAGATCTAGCCCTGGTATGAGGATCTGGGTCTGTCAGTGAGGAGGTAGGAATCTGGTTTACGTATGAGGATCTGCTTCTGTCAATGTCTGAGGAGGTAAGATTTGGTGGGGTATTAGGATTTGGGTCTGTCAATGTCTGAGGAGGTAAGATTTGGTGGGGTATTAGGATCTGGGCCTGTCCGTGTCTGAGGAGGTAAGATTTGGCGGGGATATTAGTATCTGGGCCTGTCCGTGTCTGAGGAGGTAAGATTTGGCGGAGGTATTAGGATCTGGGCCTGTCCATGTCTGAGGAGGTAAGATTTGGCGGAGGTATTAGGACCTGGGTTTGTCCCTGTCTGAGGAGGTAAGATTTGGCAGAGGTATTGGGATCTGGGTCTGTCCGTGTCTGAGGAGGTAAGATTTGGCAGAGGTATTGGGATCTGGGTCTGTCTGTGTTTGAGGAGGTAGGATTTGGTGCAGGTATTAGGATCTGAGTCTCTCCATGTCTGAGGAGGTAAAATTTGGTTCAGGTATGATGATCTGGGTCTGTTCATGTCAGAGGAGGTAAGACCTGGCCCTGGTATGAGGATCTGGGTCTGTCAATGAGAAGGTAGGAATCTGGTATACGTATGAGGATCTGCGTCTGTCAGTGTCTGAGGAGGTAAGATTTGGCGGAGGTATTAGGATCTGGGCCTGTCCATGTCTGAGGAGGTAAGATTTGGCAGAGGTATTAGGATCTGGGTCTGTCCGTGTCTGAGGAGGTAAGATTTGGCAGAGATATTAGGATCTGGGTCTGTCTGTGTTTGAGGAGGTAAGATTTGGCGGAGATATTAGGATCTGAGTCTGTCCATGTCTGAGGAGGTAAAATTTGGTTCAGGTATGACGATCTGGGTCTGTCCATGTCTGAGGAGGTAGGACCTGGCCCTGGCATGAGGATCTGGGTCTCGCCATGTCTGAAGAGGTAGGATCTGGGTCTCTCTGTGTGTGAGAAGGTAGGATCTGGCATGAGTATGAGGATCTGGCTCTTACCATGTCTGGAGAGGGAGGATCTGGCACAGATATAAGGATCTGGGTCTTTCAATGTCTGTGAAGGTAAGATCTGGCCTTGGCATGGGGATCTGGGTCTGTCAGTGTCAGAGGAGGTATTAATCTAGTACAGGTATGAGGATCTGGGTCTCTCCATGTCTGAGGAGGTAGGATCTGGTACAGGTGTGAGGATCTGGGTTTGTCTATGTCTGAGGAGGTAGGACCTGGTATAGGTGTGAGGATCTGGGTCCCTCCATGTCTGAGAAGGTAGGATCTGGCCCTGGTATGAGGCTTGTGAGGATCTGGGTCTGTCAGTATCTGAGGACGTAGGATCTGGCCCTGGTATCGGGATCTGAGTCTGTCAGTGTCTGAGGAGGTAGGATCTGGGATAGCTGTGAGAATTTGATTCTGTCTATGTCTGAGGACATAGGAATCTGGTACAGATATGAGGATCTCGGTCTGTTCACGTCTTAGGAGGTAGGATCTGGTGCAGGTATGAGGATCTGGGTCTCTCCATGTCTGAGGAGGTAGGATCTGGTACAGAGATGAGGATCTGGGTCTGCTCATGTCTTAGGAGGTAGAATCTGGTGCAGGTATGAGGATCTGGGTCTGTCCATGTCTGAGGAGGTAGGATCCGGTGCAGGTATGAGTATCTGGGTCTGTCCATGCCTGAGGAGGTAGGATCTGGTACAGATATGAGGATCTGGGTCTGTTCATGTCTTAGGAGGTAGGATCTGGTGCAGGTATGAGGATCTAGGTTTTCAGTGTCTGAGAAGGTAGGATCTGGCCCTGTATGAGGATCTGGGTCTTTCAGTATCTGAGGAGGTAGGAATCTGGTACAGATATGGGGATCTGGGTCTTTCCATGACTAAGGAGGTACGAATTTGTTTGAGGCATGAGGATCTGGGTCTGTCACTGTGTGAGGAGGTAAGATCTGGCCTGAGTGTGAGGATCTCAGACTGTTAATGTGTGAGGAGGTAGAACCTGGCCCTTGTATTAGGGTCTGTTCATATCTGAGGAGGTAGGATCTGGGTCTTTAAGTATCTGATAAGGTAGGATCTGGTCCTGTTTAGTGGATCTGGGTCTTTAAATATCTGAGGAGGTAGGAATCTGGTACAGGTATGAGGATCTGGGTCTGTCCATGTCTGAGGAGGTAGGAATCTGTTACAGGCATGAGGATTTGGGTCTGTCAATGTCTGAGGAGGTAGGATCTGGCCCTGGTATGAGGATCTGGCTCTCTCCATGTCTGAGGAGGTAGGATCTGGCCCTGATATGAGGATCTGGATCTGTCCATGTCTGAGGAGGTAGGATCTGGCCCTGGTATGAGGATCTGAGTCTGTCAGTATCTGAGCAGGTAGGTTATGGCCCTGGTATGAAGATCTGGGTCTGTCAGTATCTGAGGAGGTAAGATATGGCCCTGATATGAGGATCTGGGTCTGTCAGTATCTGAGGAGGTAGGATCTGGCCCTGGTATGAGGATCTGGGTCTGTCATGTCTGAGGAGTTAGGATCTGGCCCTGGTAGGAAGGTCTGCGTCTTCTAGTGTCTGAAGAAGTAGTATCTAGGCCGGGCGCGGTGGCTCAAGCCTGTAATCCCAGCACTTTGGGAGGCCGAGGCGGGTGGATCACGAGGTCAAGAGATCGAGACCATCCTGGTCAACACAGTGAAACCCCGTCTCTACTGAATCTACAAAAAATTAGCTGGGCATGGTGGCGTGTGCCTGTAATCCCAGCTACTCAGGAGGCTGAGGCAGGAGAATTGCCTGAACCCAGGAGGCGGAGGTTGCGGTGAGCCGAGATCGCGCCATTGCACTCCAGCCTGGGTAACAAGAGCGAAACTCCGTCTCAAAAAAAAAAAAAAAAAAAAAAAGAAGTAGTATCTGGCCCTGGTATGAGGATCTGGGTCTTTCAATATCTGAGGAGGTAGGATCTTGTACAGGTATGAGGATCTGGGTCTGTCAGTGTCTCAGGAGGTAGGATCTGGCACAGGTACGAGCATCTGGTCTGTCCATGTCTAAAGGGTTAAAGCTGTGTGTAGGTATGAAGCCTTGGGTCTGCCAGTGTCTGAGGAGGTAAGGCTAGGCCCAGGTATGAGACCTGGGTCTGTCCATGTCTGAGGAGGTGGGCCCTGGCACAGGTATGAGGCCCTGGGTCTGTCCGTGTCTGAGGAGGTGGGCCCTGGCACAGGTATGAGGTTCTGGGTCTGCTGGTGTCTGCAGAGACAGGGCCTGACCTCTTGGGAAGACCATGGTAAGTAAGGCCTTCAGTTTGTCTTGTGGCTGTGGTCGGCTCCCTGTGTAGTCTGCCCTGTTGGTCCTCCCATGCATCACCAGCACCTGCCTGCTGCCTTGCTTTCTGGAGGTGGGTTGGGCCATGGCCCTCTGAGATGCACTTATGCAAGAGCTGTGCCAGGGACAGGGTTTCTGGCAGGAGGTGGGGGGCGGGGTGTGCCGGCCCTCCCTCAGCACCTTGTTCTGTCTCTCCTAGTGGGTAGGAGGACGCTACTCGCTGTGGTCGGCCATTGGACTGTCCATTGCCCTGCACGTGGGTGAGTGTGTGTTTCTGTGTCTTGCAGCCTCTGTGGGAGACAGTGTTGTAGTCTAAGGTTAGGGGTAGGGGGCTTGTGTCCCATCAAACACCATGCTGTCTTCACAGGCTGCTGGCTTCTCTGCAGCTGGCTGGGATGTTTATTTCATGTCCAGAAGGAAAGTCTGGGTTTTTTTGGGTGTACAGGTTGGCCCCTGTCTCTGCCCCTCACAACTGCAATCCTGTCCCTCTCCCTTCCTAGGCAGAGTCAGATCCCTGCATTCAGGTCCACCTCTCACCAGAGGGGCTTTCTCTGGGCCCATGTCCTCCCATGTTGTGTCTTCTGGCTTTCCATGCAGCCTTCCTTGGTTGCAGAAGGAGCTGCGCCCACTGCCTACAGGGTGCAGGGTGTGACCACTTCTTTTGACTGTTTTTGTGTCACAGGTTTTGACAACTTCGAGCAGCTGCTCTCGGGGGCTCACTGGATGGTGAGTGCTGAGGCTGGTTCTCTGCCAGGTGCTGGCCAGAGGCATGTGTGTTGGTCCCGGTCCCTCCTTTTTTTCCCCACTCTCCTGTCCCTCCCCATCCCGTGCAGCTGCTCAGCTCCCACTCACGCTGCTCCTGTTTCAGGACCAGCACTTCCGCACGACGCCACTGGAGAAGAACGCCCCCATCCTGCTGGCCCTCCTGGGTATCTGGTATATCAACTGCTTTGGGTGTGAGACGCACGCCATGCTGCCCTATGACCAGTACCTCCACCGCTTTGCTGCATATTTCCAGCAGGTACCAGCTGCCAAGCCAGGCCTTGGAGTCAGCAGCTTCTGTGGGGGGTCTGGGAGGTCCAGGAACCTGGGTTTCAGCTCCTCCAGGTGCTCTTTGCTCCATTGCCCTTGGGCCTGGCCAAGGTCTGTTTGTGCCCCTTGTCTCAGGATGAATCTTTATAATTGAAGTTGGTTCCATTTGAGTGTCATTTGCATTTGACCTCTATGGGAGGGGCATGACCGGTGATCATGGTGCCTTGGTTAGGGAGGTCGTGGCTTGGCTCGGGATGTTCTTCAGCTGGGGTCACTTCTTTCTTGCACATCACTATGCATGCTCACGATAGTGCCTGAGGACATAGGATCGAGCTCTGGAATGAGGACCTGGGTCTGTTAATATCTGATTTTGAGGAGGTAGGATCTGGTTGGTACAGATATGAGGATCTGGGTCTGTCCCTGTGTGAGGAGGTAGAATTTGGCCATAGGATAGAGCTGCAAGCTGGAACCCCTTATAGCCTGTACTGCCTTTATCCGTCCAGAAAAGCATATCTGTATGTAGTCTATGGTAGCCTCTTTGGGCTACATGGGCCTCTTCTCCTTTGGGATTTCCAGAGCCCCCAGAGGCTGAACAGGCCCTCTCCTCATGATATTATGTTCCGGAAAGCTTTTCCACACCTGTCCCTGCTTTTTTTTTTTTTTTTTGGAGACAGAGTCTTACCCTGTCGCCCAGGCTGGAGTGCAGTGGTATGATTTTGGCTCACTGCAACCTCTGCTTCCTGATTTTGGCTCACTGCAACCTCTGCTTCCTGAGTTCAAGCAAGTCCTGTGCCTCAGCCTCCCAGTAGCTGGGATTACAGGCGCATGCCACCATGCTGGGCTAATTTTTGTATTTTTAGTGGAGATGGGGTTTCACCATGTTGCCCAGGCTGGATTCAAACTCCTGGCCTCAACAAATCCACCTGCCTTGGCTTCCCAAAGTGCTGGGATTACAGGCTTGAGCCACTGTGCCCTACCGTCCTTGCTGCTGTTTAGTACAAAACCAGTCCCAGTCCAGCAGCTCTTGAACTGCTTTGGGGAAAGTACAGAAGGCTCCACCAATACTTGGAAGCAAATCTTGTGATTGAAGGAGAGGCCCAGGTTCCCCAAATCCCAGCTGCCTTTGTGAGGGTTGTCATGAGCAGGGCCCAGGTGGGTACCCAAAGCCTAGTATCTAGTTGAGGTGACAGCCCTCAAAGGCTGTACTGTCAGCCGAGCATGGTGGCTGATGCCTGCAGTCCCAGCATCTTGGGAGGCAGAGGCTGTGGGAGATTTCTTGAGGCCAAGAGTTGGAGACCAGCCTGGACAACGTAGTGAGACCCTGTCTCTAAAAAAAAATCCGACAGGGCGCAGTGGCTCATGCCTGTAATTCCAGCACTTTGGGAGGCCGAGTCGGGTGGATCACCTGAGGTTGGAAGTTCGAGACCAGCCTGAACAACATGTTGAAACCTCACCTCTACTAAAAATACAAAAAATTAGCTGGGCATGGTGGCGCATGCTTGTAATCCTAGCTATTTGGGAGGCTGAAGCAGGAGAACCACTTGAACCCTGGAGCTAGAGGTTGCAGTGAGTCGAGAATGCACCATTGCACTGAAGCCTGGGCAACAAGAGTGAAACTGTCTCAAAAAAAAAAAAATCCAAAAACTGAAAGCAGCCAGGCATGGTGGTATGGTACCTGTAGTCCCAGCTGCTTCGGAGGCTGAGGCGAGAGATTTGCTTGAGCCCAAGAGGTGGAGGCTTCAGTGAGTTGTGATTCTACTACTGTACTCCAGCCTGGGTGACAGAGTGAGATTCTGTCTTTTGGGGGAAAAAAAAAAAAGCTGTGCACTCTGGACCCCAGCCTGCTCTCCCTTAAGAAATGAGTTGATTTTGTGACCAATTTTGTCTTAAGGGAGGTTCTCGCCTGACCTCCAGACCCACCTTTTCCTGGGCATGGGTTCTTCCTGCAGAGTGGCCTAAGCTGGAAAGCTTGGGAGGCTGTATCCTCACAGGTGTGGGGAGGAAAGGGATCGTGCCTGCGGACACATGTGCATGTCCCCCTCACAGGGCTAGGGCAGGGTGGGTCTGCCTGGAGCATCTGGGCAGGACTTGGGCATGATGCAGGAAGGAGCCAGATGTGGGTACAGTGTACAAAGGGTCAAGACTTGCAGGTAGAGGGTTGGGTTTTTTTTTTTTTCTTTTCTTTCTTTCTTTTTAAACGTTCTTTCATTTTGCCAAGGACTGGGTTTCTGTTCCTTTTCCAGGGTGACATGGAGTCCAATGGGAAATACATCACCAAATCTGGCACCCGTGTAGACCACCAAACAGGCCCCATTGTGTGGGGGGAACCAGGGACCAATGGCCAGCATGCTTTTTACCAGCTCATCCACCAAGGTAGGCCCCTGTGGCCTGGGCAGGGTGGTGCTGGGGAGGGAAAGGACCTTCCAGAAGAGACATCTCAGTTAGGTCAGTGCCCTCCTCTAGGCTGTATGGCTAGCTCCCATGGGCTGGGGTTATGTGGGTGACCACAGTGCCCTTCACAGGCACCAAGATGATACCCTGTGACTTCCTCATCCCGGTCCAGACTCAGCACCCCATACGGAAGGGTTTGCATCACAAGGTAAGAGCCCCCATCTGGCCCCATTTGAGGATCTGGCTCACATTGCACCCAGACCTCTGAAAACCTGATGCATTGGTTGGCACTCACGTTAGTTTTCTATTCCTGCCATAACAAATGACAGCAAACACAGAGGCTTAGAACAACACTCATATCTCAGAGTTTCTTCTTTTTTGGGGAGGCGGGGAGTAGGGACAGAGTCTTGTTCTGTCATCCATGCTGGAGGGCAGTGGCACCATCTCAGCTCACTGCAGCCTTCATCTCCCAGCCTCAAGTGATTCTCATGTCTCAATCTCCCAAGTAGCTGGGACTATAGGCATACACTACCACACCCAGCTTATTTTGTATTTTTGGTAGAGACGTGGTTTCACTGTTGGCCAGTCTGGTCTTGAACTCATGACCTCAAGTAATCCACCTGCCTCGGCTTGCCGAAGTGTTGGGCTTATAGGCATGAGCCACCACGCCTGGCCTATCTCAGAGTTTCTGAAGCTCAGATGTCTAGCAGGCTCTGGTGTATCTCTGCTTAGAGTCTTATAGGCTGCAGTCAGGGTGTCAGCAGGACTGTGTTTCTTTCTGGAGACCCTAGGGGAAAAGCCTTTTCCATGCTTGTCAGGTGGTTGGCATAATTCATTTCCATATGGTTGTGGAACTAAGGTTCAGCTTCCTTGCTGTGGCCTGAGAGAATTGTTCTCAGATTCTCAAGGTCACCTGCATTCCCTAGCTTGTGGACCTCTTCACTGCAGAACCAATAATGGCAGGTTAAATCCTTCTGAAGCTTTGATTCTGTCTTGCCACTTCTGTTGCATCTCTCTGGCTGACTTGTCTACCTTCCTTTTCTACATTTTTCTTTTATTCCCTAAGTGACAGCGTCGGGCAGTGTTGTCCAGGCTGGACTTCAGTGGCACGATCACAGTTAACTAACCTCTACTCCCGGGCTCAAGGAATCTTCCTGCCTCAGCCCCTCGAGTAGCTGAGACTTACAGGCACACACCACCATGCCTGGTTAATTTTTAAACGTTCTTTCCTTCTTTCTTTTTTTTTTTTTTTTTTTTTTTTTGAGACGGAGTTTCGCTCTTGTTACCCAGGCTGGAGTGCAATGGCGC